AAATTAATATGAATAAAGCACAACTCCTGCACCTACAGAACTGCTGTCAGAACTTTCCGTGTCGCTCCGAGGCCTGCATGTGACAATGTCAGAGCCGATATATCAACTCCTGCACCCGGGCGGAATGACGTAATCCTGATTTGTGACTCAGGCTCACAACACATGGCATCGGCAACCGCGCACATATTCAGTGACATGCTTCATCCAACTGTCAGGATCCAATAGTGTTCGTTTCTCTCTCTGAATGTGTCAATCAAAGCCCTGCAGGCAGCTCTCTCTGCCCGAGGCTGCAAACCGCCTGCGGACTTCTCTCTCCGTCTCTAGCTACTCGGTGTCAGCGCTGAGCTAAGCTCGAGTGGGAAGAGGGACGGGGAGTGCTGTTTTCAGCAGCAAGGATTCCCCACCCATTGTTTTTTGATCCGCGACCGACACACCGCTGACCTCCGACCCTAACCTTTGACTCCTTTGTGTGTGTGCGTTTGTGGGTGTGTCTCTGTGTTTCTGTGTGTCCCACTGGGACTTTTAAACAATGTGGGAATGAACTATAAACCACTTTCAAAGCATCAAAATTATAATGAGCCACACAGAGAGTAACACTGGCTACTAACTAGCTTTTAGCCACATACTGATACAGTGACACAAAAATCAACTTTTCTTAGTTTATATATAAATATATATCAACAAATTTATGGTACCATCAATGGTTATAGCTTCTGAGCGTGAATTCTTGCTGGTTTCTTCTTGTCTTTTATAATACTAAACTAAATATTTTAGGGTTTGGACTACTTGTCAGAGAAAACAACACATTTATGACATTATGATGGGCAGGTGTTAGTCGCAGCCCGAAATGACAACCTACAAACTTCCAATATTTATTGCAACTAACGTTAGTCGTACTAACTTTATAAACACTATTCCCATCAAAGAACACCAGCAGCATTTCCTGACAATTTTAGAAGACCTCACAGACCTAAAGAGCTCACAGGGTGCAGTTGCCGTTTGACCAATTTGATGAATGATGAAGGTCTAACAACTGAAACAGCATTGACAAAGTGAGTGCACATGATTCTATTGTTCCTTCACAGTCCGGAGTTTGATCCTCCACACTTGACAATAAGACATTTGAAGGGTTAATACGCTCTGTCGTACCTCCTGGTCTGGCTGAGTACAAGGGCTGCTATTGCCACCTCCAACACAAATTAACACATACTCACCACTGCACAAATGACAGGGTGTTTGAGCACTACCCACCGTGTGTGTGTGTGTAGTACGTACGTGTGGTAACAGTGTTTATTTCTTCATCTCATATCGAGATCAGATGTGTGCCAGCGCAACTTTCAACCAGGAGGAGAAGCCACACAGTCATGTTGTAACCACTTCAGCCAGCGGCTTTATTAACGGCTGATGAATAATTTACTTGTGCTTTGTACGTCAATTAGAAGAACAAACAAGACTGTTTCTTGTTTCTGAAGCTCGAAAGGAGAAGGATTTAAGAAAAAAAGGCTGCATAAGAATGATATAAAATGAAATGTGATTTTGGAAAACACTTTAAACAAATTCAATTGTTAAAATATGTCCATGACAAATTCCTAGAGTCCAAGGGAGCGTCTTCAGGTTACTTGTTTTGTCTGACTGACAGTCCAAAACCTCAAAAGTAATCAGTTTACAATTTTAAAAAAGACAAAACATGCGATAATTCACATTGGAGAAGCTGGAGCCATTTAATTTCTGGCATTTTTGCTTCAAAATAGTTGCTAATGAATAAACTGACTCATGTTTTTAAAAAAATCTGAGACATGGGCAGTGATTTAAAGGTTGGGAATCGGGCTAATTTCTGAATTACTCTTATGATAAAGTGGAGCCGTCATGTACATCTCCCTGTATCTGTGTGTGTGTGTGTGTGTGTGTGTGTGTGTGTGTACCTGAATCTCCCTATCTCGTCTGCCGTGCTGGGACATATCGAAAGCAGTGATGTTTGAAATTCACTCTGCTCTGTGGGATTCTCAGTCTTTTTTGTGGAGCGTATTTATTCAGCAGGTCTTATCAGAGCTGAGGTGCTTTATTCATCTCCTGCTTCTCTCTTTCTTGTCTGCTCGCTGTTGAAAACACACACATACCTGCAGTGCACCCCGACCCAATCCCTCCACATACTCACACGGGCAGACCTCACATCCCAGCGTCCCACTGTTGCCATGGGGACCATTTCAACCCTGTCAGCACTTCTGAGGTTTCGCCTGGAGCGAAGGCAATTTGCTCCCCTCCCCATCCTTCACTCTTCCCATCCCTCCACCCCTCCTCCTTTTCTCTTTTCCAAGACGGGAAAAAAAAATCCCATCCTTCATTCTCAAGAGGCACGACTATTTCTTCTCCTATTCTTTCTCTCAGATTCATTCACCCACAATGTTTGGCACCGGCAATCTCCTCTCCTCCTACTCTCACTCCCACTCTACACAGGCTTTATAAGTGTGTGCATACACTTGCTCCTTCCCCAGACTGAGAGAGAGTTAGGGGGGGGGGGGGGGGGGGGGGGGGGGGGGGGGGGGGGGGGTGAAAAGTGCATCTGCTGCTGATTTCAACCACACAGGATGTGTTAAAAGCATAAATTTCCTCGGAGGGGCTAATCTGATGTATAGATTGAGCTAAACCACGAAAGGAAGCAATTGCTCTGAAGATTGTCTCTGGCAGAAATCTGGAAACATCTTGCTCCTGTGCAGAATTTGACTTTTATATATCTGCTGCAGGCACGTTCATAACATGAGCCCGAAGATGTCATCTCTGGCTGAAATAAAACCCATTTAAAAACAATGCTCGAGAGTTGGCAGGTTGAAAAATATTATTATTTTTCCGTTGAACTTTATGCCCAACGCTGGCGATAAATGATGCGATAATAATGCGATACTTCCCCCACAGGGAAATTCTCACAGCACAAATCGGGCTGAGCTATAAACCAGCTGGCGGGGATTCAGTGTATTGCTTAAAGACACTTCAGCAGGGCAGCTGAAGGCTTGAACCAAAGTTCACTGGCTGAATGATCATCTTATAATACACAAGAAAAACAATATCAGGACTGTTAACTGACCCATAACACTGCGACTGAAACTCATATGAAGCCTCACACATCTACACAGATGGTGATGTAACAAGACTTTCTATGAACACTATTTAGATTTAACCACCAGCTATAAGAGATCAGAAAATGACACATTCGGCTCATGATTATGTCCATAATCCATGAAAATTCCTTGCGATGTGCTATACTTAGACGCTTTAGCTTTGCCTGGACATATACATAGAGGCCGGCTCACCTCTAACTTCCTCGTAGTATTATCCCAACAACATAATGGCCCTGCTGTTCAGGGGATCAGCTGAACTTGGACACAGGAAACAGGCACAGCTGGGATAGCTGAGGGGCACATTACGTGGTTTATCCTGTCTATACATAGACCTGGAAGTATTCTTAAAGCCACCATGCACAAGCAGCAAAGATGACAGACATAAACCTGCCAGACAGAGAGGAAATATCATGTCTCAGACTGGGAGAGCCCAACTAAACACATTTTATACGCCTTTTAATTTGTGGAGTAGCTTACCCATGAGATGCTGACATAAATCTTTATGATGGGAGTTCATAACACACACCACAGTCTGTAAGCTCGGGCAAAATAAGTCATAAGAGGATAGCGTCTTGAGAGGGTGGGGGTAAGCTGATAAAGTCACCTGACGATGACCACAGACTTAAGGTTATAGTTTAGCCTCCTGTTAAAGCACCACTACATCAGTAGGTGTGACATAATGGGGTTGTAGCAGCAATGCAATTACTGCTCACTGTGCACTCCAAGGCAGCGGCAAGCCTTCTCCTCAGCTGCTTTCTTGTATGGCAGAAAGACGAACAAAATATCAAACATAGAGCACACCGTAGACACCAGGAAAGGTGGGAAAAACTGGGAATTCCTGTGTAACGCCAATACAAACAAATCTAATAAACATAACACTTAATATATCTGTTCCTGTAGATCCTGTAGCACATTTACTACCAATCAATTACACCTCAAATAACAGCTAATCATATTACAAACCATGTTGCTATGTTTTAGAAATTTGGATGTGTTTTGACTACTTGTCTTTATCTCCCATTAATCTCCAAATGATATGAAAATCAATTACTCGGCTCTTGAAACTTGCATGAATCATGCAATCCCTCAGAGTGAACACCAGGGCTGCTATTTTTTCATTACTGATCATACTATGTGATATTTTTCCATTTACTTCAATTTATAGTTTTAATAAAAGTCTGAAAAATACACATACATCGTCAGAAACTCAGACATACTCCATTTTATAGCAATATAAAACAGAAAAGAAGCATTTAAAAAGCTAAAACCAGCTAAATGTTTGCTTGATAAATGACTACTCAACTATCAAAACTGGCAACTGCTCAACAAATCAATATGTTTAATCTGTTTATCCCTAGTGAACATCAGCGGCAATTCAGTGCAAACTTTTTAAATCTATGAGCACAGAATACATTGATGTTCACTGTGATCGATCACAGGAAATGAAGAGATGTCAGAAGCGTGCTTATAGGGTTTCATAGTAGAGAGAAATCAATGGGAGCCAATGGCTGCCTGAAACTATGGGAAAAATACACGAGAAAGAAAATCTATAACTGCACAAAGTGTGTGTAAAAATGGTCAGCAAAAGTGTATAGGTGTACAGGAGTTAAAATGAGGAAGTAAAACTTGCACATGCAGATGAGAGTTAAGTTAAATTGCCACAGCTTCCTGCACTGGAGATCTTCAAACCCAACTTGGGTCGGACAGTGCACAGTCCATCAAAATGTCACACTGGGACTATACAGTGATGTTCTCTACTCAAATTAATGATACCAGGAGTAGCAGCCTTGAAGACAACTCCAAAGCTGCTCTTTTTTGGTGACAACCTTGAGGAAATAAATGGCTGTAAATGGTTAAGTGTGAAAAACTGACAGTGAATTCTCTCACCATGTCTGCTGGGGTGCTGCCCGTCATCGTGAAGGTTCTCCCGGTCCTCGGAGGGGTTCACACACACTCACAACACAAGACAAGGACACAGATATCCCCTCTTTTCGTCTCCCCTGTGAGAGCTCACACACACGTCGTTGTTGGGGTTTTAAAGCCGGAAACAAAAAAGCACAATGTATTTCCCGGTGTCTTGCTCTCCACAGTCACAACACTGAGGTAGTCGAGACGTGTTAACGACGCTGCTTCCTCTCTATTGCACAATCATGTCGTTGATCATTTTCCACACAAATTGGGAGATTCGGAGGTGTCGTTAATGATAGCGGGATGAGCTGTGGACCCGAGGGCCTCTTCCGACCCTCCACACATCAAGAGTACCCTGCTTTAGAAAAGGTGCCTACGCCATGCGAAAAAGCCAACACTGCTGGCACATCCGAACACGGATCTTTTTCTCTCTTGTAGAAGAAGAACAAAAAATATCCGCACGGTTACCGTCCTGTGATAAACTCAATCACTTCCGGTTGTCGGTACACAAACGCGTCTCACGGTGAAAGCTGTCGGCGCTTCTCTTGACACCGGGAATTACTGATGATTGTTGTTAACGTTACGGACTGCGCTGCTGTACCTTTGCGACCCGTTCAGCTGTCACCCTGCCTCTGAACCATGACGTCAAGCTAGTAGCGGAAACCGACATGGGACTTCCGGTTTGGCTTTTCCAAATAAAACCACTTTAATATTTAGAGTACGCAGTACGCGCATTTATTTCTTTTTCTTTTTGGTATGAATAAATTAATTAAGATATTAATTACTACTATTTTGGTTGTTATCCAGCCCATTTCTACAGAAGTAAAATTTAAAACTGAATTTAGCACTAAAAAATCCATAAAATTAAGACATACTATTTTTTTCACTGAAAATTCAATTTACTCCAAAATGTTTAACATATTATGATAAATGACATTTATTAATTCATTAATTTATTTATTTTTATTAAATTTTCTCAAAGATTTGGTTGTGTTTTTTTTCCTCATTGTAATTATTATGTTTTTATTTATTGCATGTGGCTTTGGTTTCAAAAGTGTGTGTGGTGACCAACCAACCATTTTAAAATTAACAATGTAAACAAATTACTAAGATTTATTTATGTACTTATTTTGAACTTTGAATCTACAACCCCAATTCCCACAAAGTTGTGCTGTGACGCAATGTAAAAATATATTTGTGAATATAAATATAAATAAAAACAGAATGCAATGATTCCTTTTTCAACTATATCCAATTGAATACAGTCCTAAGACAAGATATTTAATGTTCAAACTGATAAACTATATTGGTTTTTGCAAATATACACTAAATATACATTCTAAATTTGATGCCTTCAACATGTTACAGAAAAAGTTGTGACAGGGGCATGTTTACCACTGTGTTAGCCTTTTTTTTTTTTTAACAATAAAAGTAGTAGTAGTAGTGGTACTAGTATCAGTAAGTGTTTGGGAGATGAGGACGCTCATTGTTGAAGTTTTGAAAGTGAAATTCTTTCTCATTTTTGCTTGATATACAACTTCAGCTGCTCAGCAGTCCAGGGGCTCTGTTGTTGTATTTTGCACTTCATGATGCACCACACAAATGACAGAAAGAGACAGGGGTGGACTGCATGCAGGCCAGTCTGGTATCTGCACTTATTTACTGCAAAGCCAAGATGCTGTAACACATACAGAATGTGACTCATTGTCTTGTTGGAATTAAGCAGGGGCATCCCTGAAAAGATGTTGGCTGGATAGTAGCGTACCTAGCTTCAAAACTTGTATGTACCTTTCAGCATTCATGGTGCCTTCACAGATGTGCAAGTTAATCATAATGCCATGGATAACATGGGTAACACACCCCAACACCATCACAGATACTGGCTTTGAACTTGCGCTGGTATCAGTCTGAATGGTCCTTCTCCTCTTTATCCCGGAGGACATGACATCAATAATTTCCAAGAACAATTTGAAATGTGGACTCTTCAGACCACAGCACACCTTTCCACTTTGTGTCAGTCCATCTCAGATGATGAGCTCAGGCCCAGAGAAGTCGGCGGTTGACATATTGTTGATATATTCAGAATGAGTTCATATTTACAAAATAAAAAATCCATTTAAAAAATATATCAAAAAATATCTTGTCTTTGTACTGTATTCAATTAAATGTAGATCAAAAACATTTGCATATCATTGCATTCTCAATTTATTTACATTTACACAGTGCCTCCTTTATATATTGACTTAACACATAGATATATGCTATGTGAGTATGTGCACAACAAAGGGGGAAACTGGGGAAAATAATTTGAGAATAATAGTGTTGCATTTGTCCAATTCCTCATCCTCAACATTAAAAGCTACTATTCAGCTGTTAAATTCCTCAAACAAAATCTTAAATCACCATTTTTTGGGTCTTTTTTAGTATTTGGTATTTATGAATCCTGGCAAAACAAGAGTTTCTTACACGCAAAGTGAGAACTAACAGACCTATTAATATTTGATCAGTTCCAGAACTTAATCATAATTTTGTTAAGACTTTTTTATCTAGGCAATATTCTTGCAACCGAAAGACAAAACAAAAATAAATGTATTTAAGAGCTTTGACTTATTTTGTTAAATTGAAGAGGTTTTGAAGTAAATAGTGATATGACTTAGTAAAGTAAGATATAGGGGAAAAGTAGGATTTTATTGTTATTCTAATTTTTATGTAGTATTATTTTGGCACCCTCATCAAATATTTTGGTAGTTATCTCAGCCAAATTCAATAGAAGTAACAGATTTTTTAAAACTCAATTCAGCACTAAACTTCACAGTCATTGTTATGTTTTATTTTGAAGTCGAAATGACTCTATATCCGGGTTTAATGTTTCCCAACGCACTGCTTGATGCAGTCCCTTTAAGAACATGGCGGCAGTCCTCAGATTGGGGGGGTTGGACCTTTGGATTGAACAGGGAAGAGTGCTGGAAGTAGTGAGAGCATGAGTGGGAGAGAGTCCAGCCTGGGTGGAGGAACACACCTCTCTGAGAAACCAGCATGGATGGGGATTCCTTGGAAAAAGAGGCACAACACTGAGGAGAAGGAATACTCAGTGTGTCCTTTCTGGGAAAACAGAAAATGACAGGCTGCTGCTAATGTTCATATGCTACACTGCATCAGAATACAAGATTCAGGCGTTTAGTGTTTGTTACAAATAAGAACCTGTCACATCTGTAAAGGTCAAAGGTCATAAAACTGTCAGTTATATTTGCATTCATGCACGGTGATGGTTCATTAAAGTGATCAGTGACTTAGAGGATAAGACAGGGCTTCTGCAGTGACTTACTGTAATCAGTAAATTAGCCAATCAGTATCCAGGATGGCATGGGCTGTCATGGAGAGTGAACAATGTCTTACAGAGCGGAAACGATACAATAATGGCCTTTGTTAAGCAGCCTGAGAGACTTCTGGAGTCAAAGTAACATTACAAATAGGAAATAATACATATATTATGCACAGTATATAAGTATTGTCATAGAGAGTTGGAAAAAACCTGACATACTATTAGTTCAATATGGCTGTGGGGTTATTTATAGCATGCATCTAATACATATGTAATATAATATCCTGTCCTTGATGAAGTGTTCTGCCTTGTGTATGTGCCTCTGCGTGTGTGTGTGTGTGTGTGTGTGGGCCCTGTTTCCGTCAGAGGTCGAGATGCGTATCGGCAGCAGGTCTGTCCCCTCTCTGGTGGACTGAGTGAAATCCATTGTGGCATCAGGAGTGGCTTTTTCTCTGAGATCTACAGGATTAACTACCTAATCTCCCCACCATAAAGGGAGAGTGGAGAGGGGGGTAGCGAGTCTGACACACACTCACACACACACACACATACACACAAAAGCATAAGCATGCCTGCACAAACACAAGTGAGGTGTGAATGTGTTTTTGTTGTCTGTGTTTTCAAAATAAAAATCAGTGTATGACTTTCAGCTGGTGAGCCAAGTAGGGCAGCGACTACTATATAATGACTATTGTTATTATTAAATCATCTCTTGATTATTTTCTCATTGAATTGTTATATAAAATTATGAATTGTCAGAAAATACTGGAAAATGTTGTTAATCAATCTGTCAATCGATTAATTTGTCACATAAAATCATAAAATATGATTTTAGTTAATGCAGTTGTCAGCTCCATCAATTTCTACAGTCAAAATAGTGTAGTGATAATAAATTAAAGTAAATGTTTGGGATTAGGGTCTTCATTTAGGATCCTTGTGGCCTGAGGGTAGAAATAAATCACTTGTTTTGTCTGACCAACAGCCTAAAACCAAAAGTATTCAATAATAAAGGCAGAAAACAGAAATGAAAATCAAACTGTCACATTTGAGAAGCTTGGCGTTAATGCCATAAATGATTAATTGGTTGTCGAAATTGCTGTTGATTTATTTTATGTAGATAGACCAAATGTCTAATCTACTTATCGTTTCAGTACTAAAATCTAGACTAAAGTGTGTGTGTGTGTGTGTGTGTGTGTGTGTGTGTGTGTGTGTGTGTGTGCATCCATCACAAAAATACACGTATGCCCAAGTAATTAATTAGTTCATATAGCTTAATATAACCGCATTTAGCATATAAAACACGTCTTAAGGGGCCACAAGAATGACAGGTCTACATTATATTCTGTATGTGTGTAACCGGTGGACTCTAGTGATGTCTGCGTTGTGTTGATATGAAGAAGCCGAGACCGTGGATACCTTTGGAGGCACTGGTTACAGTCTAGATGGTCCTTTTGCTCTTTTATTCCTGACAATTCTGATAGCAAGAGGTACAAACAAAATCCTCCGTCAAATACGACCATATAAACTCGAGCCCCTACACAAATTAAGTGACATAGGAATATGTTAGCATATTATACAATACGTTTACACGCTAAGAAATCAAGGTACAGGAATGGACCTATACAAATGCTTTGTCACTGCAGCTGTACCCAAGCAGGGTAGCTTTGAAACTGGCACATTTTTGTACCTCTAAAAGAACATTTCTGGACCCTTACTGACAAAAATGTACTTTTAGGTCAGGGAATAAAAACGTATCCATTGGAAAGGTACAGAATTGGTCCCTACAGCTGGGGCGACAAACTTTTTTGTATTCTTATAGGCTGAAAAACCTATCTTAACAGCTCTAAAACACGGAAATAACAACAGGAGCAATGTCTCTTACCTCTCCCATGGAGTACAACAGCGAAAGGGGAGAGGTAAGGTGGGAGACACCCCTGTATAGGTGGGGTACCCCCAAAGGTGAACGTAGGGGTACAAACGTTCCATATATTGACTATGGAGGCCTAAGCGTGTCAGGTAATAACAACTGAAACAAATTTTGTGTACTTTATATTAAAAATGTACATTTGACTTTGTTACACATATTACTGCTGCACAATTGACCCAGTTACATATGGTATAACTGTATCACACCATATATGAAATGACTACAGAAACACAGTCATGTTCCACCACTTTCAAACAAGACTGACTTGTCTGTGCTTATGAGTAGTGAATAAACCTTGTACCACCCACAGCTCCACCCGCAAGCACTCTGTTTATCTTTCACTGGTGACTAGTTCTATAATAGGTTACATGAATATGAACATGTGTTGC